TATATATATATATATATATATATACATGATTATCAAGCATAACAAAATTATTATGCTAAAAGCGGGTTATCGGAATCTCTCGGTAAAGAAATATTTGTACACTATGTAAGAGGGATATGACGCAAGAAATCTACTTGAAACCAAATCTATGGTTCCAAGTAAATGCACTAAGTCATCTTGAACACATAAATGCAATCCTTTACAATAAACTGTAATGTTCACTGCATTCTTCATCGGGCATCGTAATAAAATGGAAAATTATTACAAACAGTATCGCGAGTCCACGCTTATCCATAAATATATTGCGTATATATCACACATATTTCAAAATTTAATCATCTTTGGATAAGTTCTCTGTGCCGTATAAATCGTTTTCTATTACTTCGATCGCACACAGCTGCGGAAACCATCCTCTGATACGTCTTCTTCCCGCGTCTCCCACGCTTTTCTGCTCTTTTTCTCCAAATAGCCAATATCTGCAAGTATTGAAGTATTTCTTCGAGAATTTGTTCGATATAACAAGGAACGTATCGAGTGTAACATTAAATAACGCGTAAAGATTACCTCTTCCAACGCGTCACGACTACGATATCTCCTACATCTAACTTGATGCGAGACTCATCGGTACAAAGTGGATGGAAGAATACACCGAAGCCGTGTGTAATTGGAAACTTCGATCCCGATGCAGGCTTTATGATTCTATATCTAAGGGCTCTTTTCCGTTTGTCTAATTTTTGTGCGAGTTGTTCCCTCTGGAAAACAGCAATTAATACAATGCATTATTAGTAATTCAATCATTCTTAAACGGTACATTGAGTACAAGCTGCAGTGTTTACAGATACCCTATAATTTTTTTCAAAACACACGTTGCTTCTACGTTTTCCTACATGTGTTGATCCCTCAATTCACATTTCTAATACTTGTTTACAAATATTTTTTTCCCTTTCGCTTGGAAGTGTTTTGTTGTCCATCTTATTCCAAAAATACCTAATCTCATCATGTCTTTCTGTCTCTCTCCTCTTTTTCCTATCTAAGATTCTCGAGTTTATTTGCTTTAAACAGCTTTAAATAGATTTAAATAGGTTTCTAGAACATGCAATCGATCTTGGATTTCAGAGGGTACAGCACGACCGCATCCTTACTTCGTGTGTCTAATTCCATTCATACTGTAGGTCTATTGTCTCGTCACTTGAGATTTTACAAAAGCTTTCGACACTGTAAATCATAAATTGCACCTGGCTAAGTTATTTTAGGATTTATCATTTACCACAATTTCCTTCATTCGTTTTCATTCTCTCAATCATTTTCAGTGTGTTACCATCTCCAATCTTTTTCCTATCTTTTTCCTTTCATTCTCATGTATTGCTTCCCGCCTGGTGTATCTCAAGGGTCAATAACTTGGTCCATTACTTATTCACTCTCTTTGTAGCAGATATATCGCCTCAGTCTTTGGTTTCTCATCTTTATACGTATGACGTCGATGATGTCATTCTCTTGTATCCTTTCTCTTCCTAAGATTCTCTTGATATCCTTTCCATATTAAATAACGACTTCCATACGATCTCCGACTGACTCTCAATGAGTGAATGGCCTTCATCTCAACCCACCGAAGTCTGCAGTTTTGATCGTTGGTCCGACACGTTCGCTGTCCCAGTTTCAACTAAGTTTCAACGTTATGCCTACATCTTTTAGGTTTCCAGATAGATATGCAACAATCGATATCAAAAATATAGAATATACATGTAGATTCTTCCTGATTATTTAATCATCCGTGTTACCGTAAAATGTCGGGCAGCTTGTATTTATCTCCGCAGATTTGGCTCTTCCGACATATTTTAGCTATGCTTCAAAAAGCTTTTTGTTATCCAGTCACTCGTCCTATCTTTACTTGATTATGTAAATGTCTACACTCCATGTATCATCAGCAAACTTGTGCTAAATCGCATACAGCATATTCAGAAACTTCTGCCTCTGTTATTCTGATCTATNCCCCCCCCCCCCTTTCATTGACCTGGTTGGCTTAATGTCCACCAACGTTTTGTCTTACAGCTATGTTGCCTGGTTTATAGTGTCCTCCAACTCGATGGAGTGCATTCCATTATAACTCGGAGTATCACACTAACTCCAGTATCATAACACATTTCCAATTCTCCCTCTCTTTCCCATCGCGCCTATAAGTTTGAAAATTATTTCTCACGCGTTGCAGTTCATTGGTTAATCCTATATCAACACGCTCTGCCGAAGCTTTTACAGTATTCCGATCTAACCCGACTAAATGCGTTTTTGCGTTTTCTCAAAAATAACTATAATGACTACACGATGTAATACATATGTTGTCACATAGTTTCCTTCAATTTTGCATTCTGCTTACGCTCCTTTTCAATACGGTTGGATATCCTAATATCAACTATCCGTGTCGGCTAAATATAATTGTGCAGTGTACTCAATGAAGATTCCTCGTGACTTGACAAATGTCGTAGTGAATTATTATCTTTGTGATAAAATTACCGTCAAGGTGTATTGATCACAACCGTCGATAACGGGCCACGTGATGCCATCGCCGACGGGAGTGCAGTCCCACGTGAGAACTTGACTTACATTGAAGTGCCATCCTTTCGAATAAGGATACACGTACTTAGTATCGGTACCGTTCCTCCGATACTGCGCTTTCACCAAGATCCAATTTTCTATTTCCGTTCGGTTTCTCACGATGGCCAACAACTGCAACAATTTGAAGGGAACACATGAAAAAAAAAAAACTGCAAACGGCAAAATTCAACAAGTTCGCACATGCGATCGTTTACCTGGAAGTATAGTAGCATCCCTACCGCAAGTACAACGCCGATCGATAAGCCAATACTAAATACTACTAATATTAATGTGTAAACCGATGGCGGTGGAAATGGCAGCGGCTTCAGGGATAGCACAGTTGCCACCCAGGAGATCAGTATAACGGTGGAGACGCAGCAACCGCCAACTGCACTCGCTAAAAATGCCGTGAAGTGGCCGTGGTTGTAGTGCCCGACGCATGTATTTATCCATGGACAGTGATGGTCCATTTTCATCACGCAACGACCACCTGAGATATTTAATATCTTTCTCTCTTATATGTATATTAAAATATACTTATAATTATATATATATGTGTTCAATCTTACATTTTCTACAATGATGTGATCTCGGTGCCTTGTATCCTTGGCACACAGTGCAATATTGCAGGTATTGAGTGTCCGTAGCTTTTTCCTAAACGCAAATTAACAAATAGTAAATACAGAAAAAAAATACAAGAAACGTTCGTACACATAATGACACGTTATCGAGGTGGAGTACCACATATATCGCGTATGATTCACGAGCTTTCCAAAACTTTCTAGATTTACTGCTCACAATAAATAACGCATAACATATTACCGGCATCCATTTTAACGTGAGGTATCCAGGACCCTCGAAAATCGCGCTGATAAAGTGGAACAAGGTGGATCCGCTTAAGCAGAAAAACAACAGGAAGCTGGCTGCTCCCGGGATACTTTCCTGAGGCGACCACCACTGTCTGCTGCAGTGTATCGTCATCAACGTGATTATCTTGATGATCCCTGCAACACGGAAATTGGCACGAAACTGAACGAATACCGAGCGATCCCGGCTCGATTCATATTTCGCGGCTGGGCGACGATCGATGGCGCTCGAGAAGATGGGCGCGGTTGAGTGTTGCCCTCTCATAAAAATCGTGTATGACCAGGATGATGACGCGCTAATTGCAACTCAAAGCTCGCCCCCATTATCCGTCGCAGCGGTATCGCGATGAGTACGATGAGAACTTCAAAGAAAGAGAGAGAGAGAGAGAGAGAGAGAGACATCGAAGTCTCGTCGGAAGACGCGTCGATCAATTCGAGGCCGGCCGACGATGGACGTCGTCGATCGCGACGATCGTCGTCTCGACGACGACGAGTCAGTAGGAGACACCTGTCACCTGCCTACCCAGAGCCGAGAGCGGTCCCCAATGACATATCCTCTTGAGCGGACTAACGCACATGCTGTCACCATAGAGTGGCCGCGGGTTGTCGGTGCTCCGGCGAACTTGCGATCGTCGAAGCCGGTTTCGCTTCGGCAGCGGCGACGACGGCGACCGGTGCTGGCTCGGGAGAGAGAGCGATCCTCGAGCGGCCGAGGCGTGCGTCCTCGTTGTTGTTACGGTGACACGTCTCCCGCGCCCCGTGAGTCACCGGAGCAGCCGTAAGTTGGTAGTAGTGTCACGCATTCTCGCGTGAATTCTTCGAGCGACAGCTGAGCATCACCGCCGATGGTCCTCGGCGGAAATATTTGGTTAGGTCCGCGCTCCTTCCGCCAGACGAGGTACACGCGTGAGTCCGTTCGACCCGGGATGGATGGCGACTTCTTCGAGGTATTGTCTCCCACGTCAGTGTTCGCGTCCCGAAATTCGCGGGCTCCTCGGATGACAGCGATGAAAAGAGCGAAGGAACTCGAGCCGATTGTGTATCATTTCGTGCAAGCTTATCGCGCGAAATCCGAACGAGAGTAACGGAAATTAATTGTGCGTCGTCGCACAACCGTCGCGTCGTACCTGCGCGAGGACTCGGCTTCGACGGGTTTATCACGTAGATCGTGTAGTTGTAAACTCGACCCGGACACACCACCGCACCTCACGACCACTCGCCACACTTGACACTTTTCTTGTTAAATCGATCAGACTCTGATGATATGCGATCAAATTGGTAAATGAAAAGCCAATAAGAGCCGGATGTTCGCGCGTGTGAATTGTCATTTTCGTTTAATGGGCGATTATGTTGGACTAAAATTTACCACAAGCATTAACCACCAAGTATGATAGGAATTTATGTTTGCACTTGTTAGAGATTTTGTGCCACGGCCACGGTCGCATCTCACAACGTATACACAACGTTTACACCACAGTGAACATGCCACACACAGTCTAGCCAAGGTGTACATTGATACTCACTGTAGGACAGTATAAAACCGAACTAAGTTTAATCATGATCATCTTTTCACCGCATTCAGCAGATCATCTATTTTACAATTGACTTTCTCCTTATGTTCAATTTCTTAAATTGTAATATTGATTTGCCACTCGTGTTAGAATTGTTAAAACTAAACATCCCACCAAGACGTTTGAGATACTGTCCACTTTTTTACATCATCGAACTTGATATGATTTAAATTTCTATATGGACAAATTGTGTCTAACATTCTCGCTAACTTATTCTCTGATTCTGTAGACTTTTTCACAGTAATTTGACATTTAAATATTTAATATTGCATATGATTTCTGAGCTACTTGTTTTCATCATATCACACACACATATCATTATTATTTACATATTAATCATTTTATGATTTTTTTTCACTGTCTTGATATTAATTAATTCATCATGTACATTAAAGGATACTTCCTGTTGATACATTTTATTATTATTATTGAAACTATTGGAAGTGTTCTATGCTAAGATTGGATGATTTCTCTGGATCTGAAAGAACAATCCGCTCTTAAGTCAGAAAATGTCCAATGTTTGCAACGGTTGCAAAATAGACATTCTGCTGAACATGGCCATTATCAGAACTGTGTCACTGCCTTTGATTCGCTTACAAGATGGATTGTACACTATTGTTTTGCAGATTAATGATATATCACCGATAGTAGCTAAGCCACAAGGACCTCAACCTCGGAAGTCTATAAGACCAATTCCTGAGGTAAATCTTCGTTTGAGTAATAATTCAGAAAAATTACCCGTGTGCAAGGATATGTCCCGACAGCAGCAACGACGGAAGAAAGCCAATTCGTATAAAAATAATATATCATCTGATAATAGCTGTGACCATGATAAACAGATGACAAATGATTCTGATAAGTTAGACGAGGAATCAGATAAGGAGCAATCGGACCATTCAGTCTCAAAATCTCCAAGTCGTTCTAGAGCAACCTCTCCGAATCGCTCTAGAACTAAGTCTCCAGAAAGAACTAAGTCTCCAGAAAAACCAAATAAATCTTCGGAGGAACCTGATGTTAAACAAGATGCAAATAACTCCTCACAATTTTATGTCGTGGTGATACTACTAGTACTAGTCGCTGTATTTATAACTCAATTGTACAGTAATGCAAATGTAAACCAAAAAGAATCCATAAGCGACAGGAGGTTGTCACCTAAATCCATTGAGGATGTCAAAGCTAAATTTTACAATCAAGATTCGGATATCTGGAATGATATTTCATCCGGAATAAATGAAGTTAAGATAAGAACTCTCAAGGCACCCTCGATCATTCTATTATTTGCGAATGAAACATACACAATGGACTGTTTAGCCTCAGCATTAGCACATTTGAGCAGTAATGTTCTAGGCGGTGACAGTCCTCTGAATTTAAATCCGAAAGATTTCGGAGATGATCCCGGGGAGATTATCGAATTGATGAGAAGTATTTCAGGAAGGAGAAAGTCTGTGGTCAGTATGTATATAACACACGTCTACATATACTTGAAAACGACTTACGTTATTGATTACGTTTAACGTTCTGTTTGCAGATAATCCGAGATGTTTTAAACATTAATGCAGAAGCGATCAAAGCCTTGCACAATTTGTGCGATAGGGTAAACCCCTTGATTCGAGAAGTTGTTTACATTATCACGATGCAAACGAAGAATTACGTATCGTCGCAAAAGAAGATGGAATTTGTGGAGGAACACTTATATCATAAACTGTCGGAAAGTATCGACGAGGATATCCTGATGGCGCTCGTAACACGAATTACAGACGGAGCAATTATATTGGTTCGACCTGAACCAAAACTACGGTATTGTTCATTTATCTAACGCTCGTTTCCTACCATCATGCTTGAAATTTAATCGACAACGATCAACTCAACGGAATTGACCAATCGATCACTTATCAGTCCAGTCAATCGATCAATGCGATTAGATTTAAACCATGATAGTCAAAATAGGCATAAACCATTAGAGGGGAGGAAGGGGGGTTGCATTGCTCTGTCTATATATGTATATAATGATACGATAAATAATTCTATGTATTTCGTAAATGAGAAATCGAACAAAAAAAATTTCTTATATGTAAAAAATAAGCTTTCTCTCTGGGCATATGATCGCTCAAATTTCTTACTTAAATTTATTTCGACGTACATACTGCAACAATTAATTATCAATGATTTTTCATTTTTGTAGTCACAAAGTAATTAATCGATTGATTAATCTTTTGTATCTACGTCAATAATGATAATTATCGCTTGTCTTTGCACATAAATTCAGGGAAATGTAAATCTAAATCTTTCAGTTTCACTTTATTTTGTTATGCCAATATTACACGAGATTAAATTTATCTTTAGTGAGTCTTCCTATATAATCACAATTTCATACTTCTATGTATTTTCAAAAAATATAACGACATTGCTGTATCTAGCGATTCCACGCATATTTTCGAGAATGACATTTATTTAGCTTCAAAATAAAATACAATCAATAGGATTTCATTATATGTGATATTGGATTCTCGTGTTAAATGTGTCAGTCAGCAGTCCGTACAGTAATTAATTAAATAATGTCAAGTATCGTATTTTGCTCATTGCCAATTTACAAGATCTTTCATCGCAATTCCCCTAATCTTTCACCCCTAATTCTGTTAAAATTATTCCGGACATTCGCAAAAAGAGTTGCAGAATGTTATTGTTAACTCGAATCAGTAAAATTATATACATTATAATAAAGTAACGAAGACTCAGTTTCACTAATACTCTGTACTAACTATACTTTATATATAATAAATGATATATCGTAAAACAGGTATTCATTGGAAAATTCCTATTGCATCAACTTGTTCATTTTGAATACCTAAATACCAAAATATATACATATATTTAAACAAATTATTTGCATATATTATATAATTTCATACAAATTTCACGTAATTCGTATTGCAGATTGCTTCTCTTCTGATATGCGTTCGTTACCTCTCTCTTTATCCTCTTGTACTATGTAAAATTTTATAAATATAGCAACTTTTCGTTAAACCAACTTTCTTTTTGATATTTCCTCAACAAGTAGGTAAAAAGGTGAACTTAATTATAAAACTTTAACTAGATCTATTTATACAGGTTTATTTCTCCAACCTTAATAAATTTCCTATTGACTTAATACAGATCCATGGGAAAATAAAATATAATATCCACGATGTGTATTTAGACCAGTGCTCTGTTCAACTTTTTTTTTTCTTTTGAGCGATGCAACGTTTTCCGATAGAAAAAATTAGCGAATTAGAAAAAATAGATGTTTCCATAAATAGATACGTACATATTTATACCAAACTATATGCATTTTAAACGATTCAATATTAGCATTTATTTTATATATATATATATTAATTAATATAGAAATATAATTAAAAATTGTTTTGATTAAAATAACTATAATTCGGTAGAAAAAACTACTTTTCGGTAAAAACTTAGTATTGCATTTGAAGAATGTTCACACGATTATTTCAGACTAATAACTCAGACCAATCCTTATATGTTCCACCCAATAGCATGATAGAGTATAACTGTTTTTACATGTTATGCAAGAAAACAGTGTTATACAACATATAATGGCAAAAGAAAATTGTTTTAAACTACACTTGTCATACACTACTTCTTGATAAGCATTTCATAAATTGGCAATAAGTTCCCATAGCTGCGCACCTTGCTAAAATGAAACGTTTAGCAAAGCTCTTCAACTAGTGAGTTATAGTACAGTCGTTCTCTGTCGTAATAATTCAAATCGGTAACTAAAAGTAGACAGTATATATAGAATTCGTACAATATAGTATGGTATCGTCAAACCTAAATAATAAATACATTTTATACAGTCATAGACTTTTTATACAGAATGTCCAAAATCTAATGATGTGCTGTACAATCCCAATACTATTGATCCGTTTTCCTTTTATCACCTGTGCACACAAAGGATTTAATATCAACTGCAATTTTGCTTCGAACTCGAGTTATGAAACAATAAGGTAAACATTATTTATTCTCGATACATCCGCAAATGTTCACACAATTAAAAACTGGTATCTGGTAATCGATTTTATGATGCTGAACTGGTAAGAAAGCATATGTATATGTAATAAAGCCGGCATGTACCATGCGATTATTGACACAAAATAGAACCGAAGCGTGTCTTGCATATTTCTATTCTCAAAACATAATCGTCACAAATAGTAAGGAAATCTTCGAGCAATTCTTATTTAAATCAATACGGTATTTCGTTGACGGCCAGATACGACTATTGCTTCGCTTCTTAAGGGCACTCTGTATAGAATAGCCTTAAAATTACGAGATACGTATTTACAGTAAAAAAGTTTAATTGGTCATGTTTCTATCTAGTATAGTAAGGAGGTGAGTACCGCGTTGCGTAATGTTGTCCGTGTTGGCTACATAGTCGCGTACTTCAGTCATTTAGTATCTTGCAGGTCAATGCAAGTATCATTTTCGTAGTTCAGTGTCAGTCACACGTCGCACGAGGGTATGAGTCTGCCTCGTCAAATTGTCTTGATCGTCTCCACTTCTACTTAAGCACTAAAAATGTTTATTCCTGTTTACTCCTGATGAGACGTACCCCATACTAAATACATGCAAGTATGAGTACGCCAAATTACCCTACGTAAATTGTTTCAAGTCTTTAGCAGCAACGACGTTGTCGCAATTTTACGTAGGTTCGGAAACCATAATTAGTAGTAACATACGGTAATAACATACGGTATGTTATAGTTCGTCTAAAATAACGAAAAAAAAAAAAGAAAAAAATAGAAAAGAAAAAACATGAAAAGTAACGATATATAAGGATTTTACTGCTCTTCTCACAATTTGACGAAGAATAGATGACTTTGGGGAGCAACAATCATATTGTTTGATACAAACGAACTCTAGGAGCATATGCACAAATACATAAAAATTATTTTTCGCGTCGATGTATCGATTTTAGGGACATCGCGTATCCCTAGTGTATAGAACAAATATAACCGTAAACATTTAACGAAACAAATGTTATATGCAGAGTTTAAGGACAGTGGATTAGAATTCAAAGCCTTGAACTGGTAGCTGGGAAGAATCTGGTGTGGTGAATTGATATTCTTGTCCTTGCGAATCGATAGAAGGTACCAGTCTGGTATCCTCCTCCTCGGATCCGAAAAATCGATCGATAATATCGAAGGCCTTTTGATAAATATCCATATTTTGGTGAGATTGCAAGAACTCTATTTTATCTAGGCCTGAAACGTCACGATGAGCGATATTCGTTAATAAATTGCGACCGAGGTGTCTCTCGCGCGTAAGGTCTTAATTAATTAATTTCGATACTTTACCATAGCATTCCTCGATAAGGACCGCGTAAGGGTTAAGACCATTGTGCATGGGCGCGTCTTGCTCTCCCAAACGCAAAATATTCTCTAATCCGTTCAGAGCCACCTGGACAATCTTGGGATCCATGACAGTCAACAAATCGCACAACGGTGGGATACATCCTTGCATCGCGAGGTATCGAATTTGGTCCGGCGTTCCGCCGTTAGTAGCATTCGTAATTGCCCATGCTGCTTCTTTACGCGTTTTAAACTCGGCTTTGCCCAAAATGTCGATCAAGACCGGAAAGATATTAGCGTCAATCACCGCCTGCGAAAAGGAGAGAGAAAAAGAAGGAGACGAAAATGAACGAAGTACTGGCCGATAAGACTGAAATTGAATTTTCCAAGTTTGCAACGTACTTGTATTTGCTGTGGATTACCGGCAGTGATGTTAGAGACCGTCCAGCAAGCCTCTTTACGAACACTTTCCCGTGGAGAACTTAGAAGGTGCAACAAACATGGTAGTGCCGAGCAATTTAATACAACTTGAGTTTGCACATCATCCCCGGTAACTATATTTCCTACAGCACGAAGAGCTGCGCTTATTACGTTACTCTGATCATGCCTGAAAAATAACACTCGCATTCGTTAGTGTACTCAAGTAAGATTGATCTCGCGCGTGACGCATTCCGTGCGAATTTTAGCGTACATAAGAAGTTCTATGAGGCGTCTACAGACGCCGGCATCGATAACAGCTTGTATCTTATCGTTTGGACCGTCGCTCAAATAGGAAAGTGCCCAGCAAGCATCAGCGAGTACATCGAAATCAGCATGATTCAGGAGGTGTGCGAGAACTGGCAAACACGGGGCAACCTTCGCGAAAGCCGGCGCTGGATTCTTCCCCCGGCAAAGATTTGACAATGCCCATACCGCGTTGCGAGTCATGGAGAGTCGTGTCGCTTTCGATAGCAACCTGAAAAGTTGCGCCGTAAATCCATATATCGGCCGTAATATTTATAGGATTTGTCGCGCAACATGTGAAGGCATCGTATGCGATGCGATGTTTCTCGAAGTGTAGTGGGGGTGAATTTTGCGAGAAAAACGTAAATAGAAGGAAACGTACTGTAAAAGTGGAGGGAGAATACCGTTGGCCAACACGTGATCTCTGCATTCGGGACTGTCCCCTGCGATGTTGCCTAATGCCCATACAGCTTGTTCTTGCACGTCTTCGTACTCGGAACCAAGTAAAGATATGAAAGTAGGAACGGCCCCTGCATCTATCACGACACGCGTTTGCTGGGACGTTCCGCTCGCTATATTTGTTAATGCCCAAGCTGCTTCGAACTAAGAGATATATCACATCGACGCTTAGGTTCCCAACGTGGGAGGATCGATTACACACCTTAACCCTTTGCACTCGAGGGCTCCGCTATGGAGACAATGCAAATAACTTTCAGTTCATAACATAAGGACAAAGGCAAATCGTAAAAACTATTGTGTATAGGATATTCCGCTCTTGCTATTTGCATTTGAGTTTGAAGACAAATTTAAAACGACTCCGCTCCGGAGCCCTCGAGTGCTAAGGGTTAATAATGCCTGCGTTTGCCTTTCTTTATATTAATACTACGTAATAATACTTACCTGTAGCGTGCAATTTGTGTTATTTTTAAGAAATTCGACGAATTGCGGCACAATTCCAGTTTGTATAACTTCGTCTATAGGAGGATTCGGTTCCCTTGATAATAATTTTCTAAATTTCTGCGTTGCTGCCAACTGATCTTGTATGTTAGGGCTGTACAATGCATCTACCATTTCAGATGTTATAATACCAGCGGACTGCTGAAATACAAATTTCCCGCGTGAAGGGAACAATTCGACATTATGTAATGAGATATAACATGCGAACAGCAGAGATACGACGAAGTAGTTGTTTTACCGATTGTTGCGTAGGAAGTGTGTACTCGTCTGTGGCTGTAACATTATCGTCATCCGCAACAATGTTTGGAACATTGCGACGCTTCGACAATTGCTGCTCCCGCTTCTGCTTCCTCAATTGAACCCCCTCCTCCTCCCTGCGTCTCCGCAGTTCTTGTGAATCCAATCCTACATTTTTATAACGATGCTTGTGTGTGGGTCCAGTTGACATCTATGGAAATGCAAGCGCAACTTAAACCATGTGTTGATTACGTTAAAGATAGTCTCTCGTGGCTTTCTTTTTTCAAACTTGAATGTAATATAACTCGGGAACTTTCCGAAAAGTATTCCCGTCTGTTACAAGGAGAAAATTGCTTGCTTATTCATTCATACATACATTTACATAAATGCAAAAAATGGCCTAGTCATGCATGCATAATTATATATGTACATTTGTTCGCACAACAAAGTATAGATTAACATATCTTGTCGATGAAGTTACGAGCGCATCAAATAATTATGATTATGAACTATTTACAAACTTGTGGTAATTAATTATGAGGTGACAATAGATCTGTTCTTTTTCACTGAATTGGCTGTACTAACTAGTTCTCTTCTTCTCTTTTCACTTAGTCTTAATTGTATGTCTGTCTTATTTTAAGTTCTATAAGTATACGCTAGTTCGACGAAAAAGAATAGAATATATAAAACAACTTGTGAGCAGTAGCTTGTAATAGTGACCATTTGATACACTTCTAACTTCACCGAAAGAGAAAAAAGAAATATATGCAAATCGTTGTGCAAACAAGAGCATACTTATACATACTTATATGTATACATGTATCTGTATGTTACATATATCCTTTCTTAGAAACAGTCATCCGCTGAGATCAAGAGAACTTCGGCTCTCCGTACAAGTGTTTTAAGCAAAGTCTAAAATTATGAAATCTACACTTCCACGAAAGAATTTCCCATACGAGCTGCCACTACTCGGTCTTTTCCGTATTCCTCGACAGAGCAGGAAAGTGGAAAACGAATCCACCATCTCGCAAACTTTGTGCTTTTCTCAACAATTGACACCACACGTACGAGCGATATACGTGCGAATTGTTTAAGCGACAAAGCGAGTCGAACGCATTCTCTTCCTCGTTTAAAAATATATCTTCAAACACGCGACAGAGAAAGAGAGAGAGAGCACGCGCGCGCGCGCGTACGTACACACATATGCACACACGCACGTACATACGCGTGTACGTGTATACGGATACATTAGCGCATCCATCATCTAATATGTGCACAAGAATACAAAGGCGAAGTAGCGAAGAGGACAGTGTACCAAACGAAACCTGTTTCGTTCTCTCTTTCGAGACGAACGAGAGAAAGAGACGGAGCGGGAGACAGATAGATGAAAGAGAGAGGAAGAGAGAGAAAGAAAACGAGAGAGAGAGAGAGAGAGAGAGAGAGAAAAGGAGAGAGAAAGAGAGAGAGAGAAATTCGCTCGACTATATCGAATACCCCATCGCCGGGCTACTCGATCGAATGCCATCGGCGAACGTCAATCAATTGATTCCGCGTGAGGGTTAGGAGAGCCGATCGGGGGCGGAGATGCCTGTCTGAAGAACTCCGCTTTCTCTCTCTCTCTCTCTCGACGCGCGCGAGTGCGTCGGTACCGACGATTGCGTCAATGCCGTCGCCGCGGATTCCCGTCGCGGCCGCTTGGACATTTTGGCGTACGCGGCCGCGGACTGACATTGGCATGGAATCCTCTCCTCCGTGTGGCACGTCAATGAGCACGCCGCGGCCCCGGGCGCGGCGCGACGACGTACGGAGATGCCGCGTACCGCCGTATCTCGTTCAACGATTCGCGCACGCTCTTCCACCTCGGCTACTTCGTGTACTTACGGCTGTGGAAAACGGATTTCGTAGCCAACGGGTCAGACGTGAAAGATCATAAGAGTGACGCAGATCCAGGCGCCGCCGCGAATCTCTTCTCCACCGCGAACTACGAACGACAGCCCGTCGGGAATCCTTGATCCGCACACCCGCGACGCGCAATGAATCACGGGTTCCTGGCGGAGGCACGCACTGATTGGTCGACGCAGCGATCCCGCCGCTCTCTCCCGCGCGCTCTTCCGCTGTCCCTGTCACACGCACGTCCGTCTCTCTCGCTCTCTTCCTTTCTGGTGAGAAACTCGCGAACGCGACACGACAGCGTCGAGAAGCAGCGGGGACAATGAAAAGAGCGATGTCGAGCAATCCTTCGGTGAAGTTCACGGGCGATTTCACGAGTGCAGATGAGAAGCCGCACCGGAAGTGTTGCGCAACGCGCTTAATTTTAACCTCTCGACGCGACGTCGAGTCGTCGTCTAGCTACGTAACATGGTTGGGAATTACGAATTGAAGGCGTCTTGACCAATCGGAGGACTGAACTAGCCGAAGTCGAGATCACCCGATTGGTCGACTTCTGATGTTCGATTCACAATTGTCGACAGACAATGTGATCGGGGTTTGTGAGAGCGTTAGGGATGCTAGTCGAGCCTCCATTCGCTGGACGTGTTAAGGCGGTTTTCATTAATCCTTAATCCCTATTTAGAATAGCTACTTAAAGCTCTGAGCCTTGCGAAATTGATCAGTCGAACGTGAGGAAACTAATCCACTGTGATTGGACAATTTCTTAAGGCTTGAAGCACCTTTGTGAACGGAGACTAATAAGAGAAAATAACGATGGCGACACGGTCGCTAAAAGTTACAGAATAGACACATAGATGTTTCTCTCGAACGTGAATCCGCAAAAATGAACATTTACTAGCGTGAAAACATTTAGAAATGTTCACTTTTTCTCGAGTTTGCATTAATAGGACGCATAATCGCCTCCCACTTTCGCGCGTTGGCCTAATCTTTCATTCGTCGTATGACAAGTCTTGTTGGGTGTATCGATTGGTTAGATACTCAATATATGAAAACATAGACAGAACATGAATTGGGTATTTTTAATTAGGATTTAGATTTATTCAACTTCGACGCATATGTATATGCGTACATGCTATTTTTGCAATTATCGTAAATGAGATCCTTATATTCGTTTAACCCTAAAATTTTTAACGCAAATAGAAAATGCAGAAACATCTCGTAAGCAGACACTTATCACATTGATATCAATTGGAAATAAGTGTATCATAATAGTCTCATTACAGCATACGTGCTAGCTAAAGAGGTAGTAATATTAGATTGATAGTAGAAACACGTTGATGTGAAAGAGGAAATACGGAAAAAAAAAATATCACAACGTGCCTTAGATTTTGATGCGATCTGCCAGAGAACAAGACAGACCCGTGTTATCCGGCTCCACATTGAGCTCCTTTACAGTGCCATCTTCAACGATCATAGAATAACGTTTGCTGCGTTTGCCTCCCAAAGGCTGCAGGTCCACGCTGAGATCTACAGCATCTGTAAATTCCGCCTTGGGGTCGGCTAGCATCCGTATCTGATAATAAAAATAGTTTTGTTTCAAAACAAAATATAATCAATTTGAGAAACTTTAATCTCAACACGGCAGTCAATTAGTGCGAATAATTGATTTATTCTCCTGTATTTCCGTACGGTTGTTAATTTGGTACTTGTGTAAACACGCACCTTGTTATTCGCACCATGTTCTTTTCCCCAAGCTTCCATAACGAATGGATCATTAACGCTGATGCAGAAGATCTCTGAAATTCCTTTGGACTTCAGTTCAACTGCTTTTTCAACATAGCCGGGGAGATGGGTCTGGAAAAATTAATAGCTATAATTTCAAATATATAACACGTCGAAAGAAAAGTTAATGCATGCATCATACACATATCATACGCATATATATCTCTTTCTTGTCTTATCTTATCAAATACATGATCTTATTATTTTATCAATATTCATATATCAACGTTCTTATAAGAATGATGTATCATAATAAAATATAAGAACATGCATTCTTGTACATATATAATAATGTACATATATAATAATGTACATATATAATAATTGTACATATACGTACATATATAATAATTTAATATGAATTCCATGTAACCTTATAAACATGAGTCCAAAAGAGACTTTATATTAATTATATTAATGCAAATAGATTGAATCTTGGTAACAGATGTATAAGAAAAAGTTTATATTTCTAGAAGAGCTATAGTTTAGTTGCCGGTAGCTATCATTTAATTACAAAATAACAATATACTTTAGAGCAACCCGGTGTGAATGCACCTGGCACAGCAAACACGATGATTTTCTTCCCAGCTGCTTCCTTCGCTAGATTCACCTTATTTGCTGGTGTGCTCTCAAAGAGATCCACACTGGGAAGCTTGTCTCCAACCTTGAAAAAGTAATATTATTAATCTCTTGCTTTCAAGTAAAGGAAGTCACATATATTGTGAATATCACGAAGCCTATAACGTTCAACTAGACTCTACAATTTCAAGACAATTTGAATACACTACATATATACACCATTCATTGCAAATGAACATCATTATTTACAGCATTAACCGATAACTTTAATGATTTGTCACATTTGTTGCATTCTTTTCCAAAATATAGTCAGGAGGTCATTTAAGTCAGGATATCTAAAATTAATCGGGCAAAATTATATAACATTATATTCAATATCATCAAGGCCAAAAATCGGCTGCATCCTCCTCTTTGATAGCTAATTATGAGAAACGATATTTCATTAACATCTCAACCCAGTTTGTGCATTCGAGTTACAAAAAAAATTAGAAACAAATCTCACGAAACACGATTAGCATTGAACGATTATCGGTCAACAGACGCTGAAATAAACAGGCCGACAGAATACTCACGGCGATAACCATGTTTTGCGATGATACGTGAAAACGTCGTGCAAAATGCCGGAACGTCGATGCTCGTCTGTCGACGGAAACGATACGATTTACTAGCTGACTCATGTATGAACGCGAAAATATCCCCATTTCGGACCACCCTTCGTAAAAATACGAAAAAAAAAACGTGATTTGTCGCAAATACTTAAGGTCCAACGTACCAACCTGACACCAACCGGCACGTTATTGCATAATACTATTTGCGTATGTAGGCTGTTGTCAGCTCATCACTCGACGCTTATAGTTCCTTTCTTTTCACTAAAGAATCATTTATCTTTTCTAAGTTCATAAATTTGAACAAATAATTCTTTGTGCCGACATATTATAGAATTTCATTATTAAACTTGGCTAAGCTGTTGGTACAAACATGTCTGATTCGTCTTGAAGTTTTTTCAGTTTGGTTTTTTATTTTATAAGAGTGTAATTTATATTGTCTGATGAAAAGGATTTTGTTTCTCGTTAATAGGTAGGGATTAATTAACTGTATTATTGAGGAATAAAAGTTTTCGCGTTGAGTCGTACAATTTAAAAATGTCTCTCTGAACTGCTGTTAAAATGTATTATTTTCAAGTTTAATATGCTATATAATCTCCGTAAAAATATTGATAATGAGACGGTTCAAGGAGCATTTTATAGACTGAAGTTTTTAATATCCGTACACATTACTGAATACAATACATACATTATTGAAAATTTAATAAATCTTTACAATGTTACAATAGTAGAAACTTCAAGCTTTAAAACAAACGAAATTTTCTCGAACCATTTTATTATCTTGATTTTTGCCGAAGTTACAAGCTGTTGAATTTTGCAGGTTCCAATATAAGCAAAAGTACGACTAATCAGCCTTTGAATTGTACTACTCGAGAAATAAACCGGCGTCTGACTTGTATCAAATTGTACTACGACCTCAATTTCTCAGTATAGTGGCGGCTCGTAGCGGAGACTTTGGAACTAAAAGCCGACGTAGCACACCCAAGTCTCAAACCATATTTAGCCAACACTCGAGTAATTTCGGCTGCGCTCCGAAAATATGCTGAAAGTACTGGCAGTACTGAAAATCTATAGTATACGTAACGTGAACTATAGATTTTCAGTTATGTCAGCACATTTCGGAAATAGTTTCCGATAAACGAGATTTTGTTTCCAAAATTACTACAAGGCGTTACGCAATGCATTTTTAATAATTAATATCTCGAAAAATAAAATGAATTGAACGAAATGCTCGGACGTAGGTCAAATATTTTCAGTATAATTTTCCCGTAAAAGTATCTTGAAAAATATTTGACCTATGCTCGAGGTTTCCACTAAATTCATCTTAGTTTTCGATGTTAATTATTAAGGTTGACCTTCGCGATTAACTCAAGGGTTTGAGTCTCAGCTAAGCAGTCGATAAATGTTAGCTGAAAAGGTTCGACAAAATCGTCGGTATGTGATGTCGACTTTTAGTTTTAAAATTTCCGCTACGAGCCGCCACTATATTTACTGAAAATTGAGGTCGTAATACAATTCAAATGAGAGACTATTTTATTTCTCAAATAATATAATTCAAAGGGTTGGTCAGCCCAACTTTTTCATATATCAAAACACAAGTAAAATTCAACAGGCTGTAATTTCGGAAAAAATAAAAATAACAAAATAGTTCAAGAAACATTTCTAAATTTGAAGTCTTTACTTTCGAACTATATTAAATTAATAATATTACTGTTATTTATCTTCAGATGTTTTATAGCCAATGAAATGAACCGTATAGCATCTGAAGATAAACTTAAGACGGTCTTAAGTATAAGACCGCGTATTTGACTATGAATACCGGCATGTAAAATATTTCTTGTGCCACCTCATTACCATTGTCTTTGCAGGAATTACAGTTTGTTAAATTTTATTAAACAACTTTACTATTTCCAAATAATAGTTAATATTTTCCAATAATTAATACAATAAGACTTATTGTCATAAATATCCATGTAATTTCGTTTATTTTCTTCTTTTTAATAGAAGTTTTTTTTCAGAGAAAATATTAATCGCTTCGTTATTCTTTTATTCAAGAATATATAATCATCAATGCTTAACATACCGAAATTATCTATTTCGAACACAACTTGTGATTATTATTTCATCGCAAAGTTTCTTTTATTTATAAGTACATACTATAAACATGCAATTCTATATTAATATAATCTTTTTTATGCACATGTCTATACACACACAATACCGAAAAATTATGTTAAACCCGATCAGAGTGTCCTTGAAAATTGACGGGCTACTTTTAACGTGCTTCTTCATCCGATCCCTTTTGCCCCCTCGCGTCTCCGCGCTTCTTCCCTTCTCGAAAGCTACAGAAATCGGCGACGAAAAGGAAGGGTAACAGGATACGCGACGATGCTACGGATGGGGTTGAAGAACCGTGGAACGGAATTACCTCGCGGATTACGTCGGTCCGAAGCTCGAATCCGAACACGACCCTGCTGGATGCAGGAGGCGTTCGCATCCGGGTTATTAAAAGCGGCTCCTCTGAACCCTCCCGCGCGCGCCCGATCCCGGCACAATGCGCCGTAATGAAAATAATATGTTCTATTTACGAATTAAAATATCCGATTTCAAAATATTCCGCGCGCAATCCCGTCAATATTGGCTCTCCAGCTCCAGTTTTGTAATGGCGCTCACACTCCTGCCTCCCATTATTCGCATCAACACGCATAACATATTACTACGCAGTAAAAAGCATTTTGTACTTGTGTTAAAATCGGTCCGTGTTAAAATGTTAAATTTTTAACATGCCCGTATATTAGTTTAACATATTGTGTTTATAGTTATCTCAAGACACACATTTTGTGTTATGTCGATATTCAACATGTTCACCTTGTGTTAAATTAACACAAAAATTTGTGTGTAGACCGTTTGGGACACGTGAAATGTGTTAAATTTAACACAAGACTTTTTATAGTGTGCGTACTTTAATTTATTTTACACACAACGAATTTGATTAAAACACGTTCGGGCAAACACGTAAAATATGTTACGACTACGAAGATGGTCGGGACCATATATTCTTCCGCGTGTAACGTTACCAAACAGACAACCTAAACAAAATTTTTCTGCGAAGGACGCTGAGAAACGATACTCTGAGGAACACCGGAATACCGAAGAATAACCAGAAGTCTAATATAAAACAAGTTTTTGTGTACAACTATACAATGTGTCTACCCGATTTGGGGAAAATATTGGGTGCGACCAAGTTCGTGCATCCTTCCGTTGCTATTTTTTCGTATAATGAAAAAAATCTCCAACGTAAAGATGTGATCCTTTTTTTAATCTAGTTTTCTGAGCAACCCTTTTCCTTCTTCGTCCGATCGAAAAGGAAACGGCCACTTCTTAAGACCCTCCACTTGTTTGTAACGATTTATAATGGGCAACAAAAAGTAAGAAGACTTAACACGAGGAGCATAAATTCTACGAAAAAATGAACAGTCATCTCAGAACACTTTGAGAAAGTTGGTAACACGTTAAGTGGTTAAAACCTTTTTGTCTCATTTTTTAATCTCTGGAAATTTTTAGCTTTTGTCGGGAAAAATGCTTCGCAAAACGTTCGTGTTATTTCAGGAACAAGCGTGAAATTTCTTACCGGTGACTCGTTTCGTTGTAATGACGTCCAACTGATAAGTATAAAAGGTTTCCCGTTGACTTTTCCCGTTGAAATTTAACATATCGCTGTCCGGGAGAATCATCTTCTTAGAATTTTTCACCGCTCGGGCGAAAGAAGAAGAGATTTTTTATTTACTCTACGGTACTCGGGGAAAATGGACAGCAGCAGCCTCTTCGATCCCTCAGAAAGAAGTTTAGAAACGAAATTTTCGACGAACGCCGCGTAATTCGGCCGCCTTATTGACGTCGCCGCCGCCGATGTCGTATTCTTCGCGCGCTTATCTCACGGGGGCGTAAATAAACGAGGGGCCGGCTGAGCGCGCACTTTCGCGATCCACCAACACGCGGCCCGGCGATACGACACAAACGTCGCTTCAGAAGGATACAATAAACGCGGACGGGAGCCAAGCACTCGTTAAGAGCGGGCCCCGAAGGCTCTAATTAAAATAACAAACGGAAAATCCGCGCGCTCGAGAGTTTCCGCCGCGCCCGCAGAAACCTCCCCCTCCGGCGGCTGTCGCGCGTCCCGTCGCACCGAGCCTCCCCCCTTCCCTCCCGCCGTAACCCCGTCACCCGACACGTGCGCGCTCGCTCTGCCTTCCTCGAGAAGAGGACCCGCCGCTCTTGCCGCATAAACGCCGCCGACTATTCAGCTCTCGGCGACTGTGTATAAATGTTTCCGTATTATATCGCGCTACACACAGTCGACGATGCGGCTGTGCCGGCGAGGGTTGCACGAAGACCGAGGAGTTTACGAAAGAGCGCATCGGGCGAGATAAAATGGAATAAGAAAGAGCGAAATAGAGAGAGAGAGAGAGAGACAAATAATAGAAGAAGGATGAAATACGCGAAGAGACCGGACGTCCGAAATAATTGCGGACGAAAGAGGGAACGAGCGAGGCGCGAATTCTCGAAAAGTTCCTTCTCGAAATTAATCGATCCACGAGCGCGGAGAGGACCCGAAGACGAACCACCACCGAGAGAGGAACGCGCGCGACGTTAAAATAATTGCGCCGAAAACAAGGCGAAAAGGGATTAATAATGTCCATCGTTGTAGGAATTAATTGATACGAGCCGTTCGCTTCTGATCATTTTCATCCCTCGGCTAATCTTGGGCGTTTAAGAGGGCTCGGGGCGAGGGAGGGGCGCGGAAGACGGAGCGATTAGAGACGCGGGAAGAGTGGGAAGACGGGAAGGGGATGGGAGAAAGATGCATAATTGTGAAAACAAGACATTGTGACGGAAACGTAACGAGGGTTTAATC